GTGCACCCGTCTGGAGCGTGTCCCGCAGCTCCAGGGACGGAGGGCGGCTCCCTCTCGACACGGGCCTCCTCGCTCGAGACCTCCGAGAGCGCGGCTGCCAGCTCCTCCTCGTCCTCCTCCTCCTCCTCCTCCTCCTCCTCCTCCTCCTCCTCCCTCCCTCCTCCCTCCTCCTCCCTCCTCGCTCGAGACCTCCGAGAGCGTGGCTGCCAGAAGTGCAGCACAGCGCAGCAGTGCTTCAAGGACAGATGCCGGGTCTTTTCGTCACGGGGGCTCTCGGTGGAGACTTCCGCACGCGGCGTGGCCACACGAGTAGACTTGTGCGACCGTGGCACGGACCAGGGCGGCTCATGGGTGAAAACGGGGCTCTCGTTGGGCACCGTTTGGGACTTGGGGATCCTACCTCATCGCATTCCTTAAAGATCGAAGGATGTAGGGAAGTTCCTCCTCAACATGGGACCGCTGCCTGAATCGCAGGCCCATGGTGCGCCCGTCTTTCACGGGGGGTGCTTCCCGTAGTGAACAGGAATGTCTGTAGGGACGCATGAGGAGGGGACTTGGGGTACGGGAGGGGTGCATTGTAGCATCGTTGACTCATGCTGCGTTTATTATGGCCCTCCTTCTCCTCCCCTGTACCTGTCCCTCCTCCTCCCCTTCCTCTCTCCATTTTTCCGTATCGACCACTCCTCCCCGTCGCACCCCGAGGGGTGTCGGTAGGGCGTGCCGCCCGCGCGTTTCGCCAGAGATGTCCTCGCGATGTGTGTTCAATTACAGGGATGGAGAAGGCAGTCGTCTCCAAAATATGGCTCTCGCCTCAGCGTTACGCACACTCGTCTTAAACACCTGCAGCAGTTGCACGAATTGAGGTAGGTTGTTGTCAACATTATCCTCTCTGCTCCGTAAATAGCCTGCAGCAGTTACGAGGGTAAAAGCCTGCAGCAGTTACGAGGGTGGGATGGTGATTTTCAAACCTGGCTATCCACTTGGCGACGCGCTCATTCGTCTTCAACGTGGCAATAGTTACACGGATGGAGAGCGGGTCCCTTTCAAAATGGATCTCTCGCTTCAGCGCTGTTCACATCCGTCTAGACAAGGTTTAACAACTACAGGGGTTGATACGTAGTTGCTTTCAATATGGGACTCGTGTGTTTGCGCTGCGCACCTTTGTTTTGAAACGTTTGCAGCAGTTCCGGTAATGGAGGACAGCTCAATTTCAACCTGCGGTTCTCATTTGAGACCCTAAAGTCTGACGAGCAGACAGTTGAACATACGTATTCAACTACACGGATGTAGGGCGACTCTTTTTTTCACGATTTTTTTTTGTTTTTCTCGAAGTTGATGGCCAGGCGTGCGCATTCGCGCAACAGTTACACGGATGGGAGGACGGTTCTTTTTCAAAATGGGGCTCTCGCTTGACATTGTATGGGACTTGATGATCCTGCCTTTGCGTGCTTCGCATAATTCGGTAGAAGGATCCAACTCAGTTCTTTTCCAAAGTGGGCTCTTGCCTGAACGGGAGGCCCATAGGGTGCTTGTCTTATAAGGGGGCGCTTCCTGTAGTGAGAAGGAAGGCTTGTAACGAATTGTGAGGAGGGGACTCGGGACAGGAGGGTGTATTGCAGCATCGTTTGCTTATCTTGGGTTTTCTCTGGTCCCTCCTCGTCCTCCTGTCCGCCTCCTCCTCGTCCTCCTCCTCCTCCTCGACCTGATCCATATCATCGTTGCTGCCGTCGTCGTCCTCCTCCTCCTCCTCCTCCTCTCATCCCCATCCTTACTCTCCTCTTGCTCCACTCCCCCTGCCCCCTCCCCCTCCTCCCCTCGCCCCCGCCGGCTCCGACGAAGAGGGCATTTTGACCTGGGCGTGCGTCATGTCGCCGGCCCCTGGCAGAGTTTGGCCCTTTGCTGTGGCGGCAACGAGCTTCTCCCTGGTTGGCGCGCCCAGGGCCTTGATGTCCTGAGCCTCTGTCTTCTCTTCTCTCTTGTGGGTGTCCAGGCCCCCCTTCTCTTGCTCCTCCTGCTATTGCTATGAGACAATATACTTCGCGAGAGACATATAGGAATTGCGAAGCAAGTCATTGTATCGCAGCGCCCAGGCATGTTCTCCACACGCGGCAGTATACATACATATATATATATACACACATACAAAACGGGGGACCTGGCCCAGGGGCCAGGTGCCACGACCTCGTCGTGCGGCACTCTTGGGGGGCCTCTCAGAGCCCTCCTGGGGCGTTTTGGAGGCGTCGTGGGCCGTCATGGGGCCGTTTTGGGAGTCCTGGAGCGTTCTTCGGCTGTCTCGGGACCCTATTGGACCGTCTTTTGGGGGCTCTTGGGGCTCTCTTGGCCAGCCATTGTTTGGGCCCCCTTACCTCCAGAAGAGTCACGCGGGAACATGCGGGGGCTGGGAAGCCCAAGACACTTGGCAATTTCGGGCCTGGCCCCTTCAATCTCCATCCATTCAGGACTGAGGGCGGAGTACTCCAGGGACTTGAGGGCACTCCACTTCGAGCCTCCCGCACGGTGGCGGATATATCTGAAAATGTGGTACAGCAGCTCGACGCAGCAGACCGCGAGCTACGCTCGGTACAACGACGGGCGGACACACGAACGTGTTGTCTACTGGACCCGCCGTGCTTACCGGAGGCTCACGTAGAGGGGGCCGTAGATTTTAAACCATTGTGCTTCAGTTTGTCGTCATGGTGTACAGCATAGGTTCTCTAGACTTCGCTTCGGCAGACGGTCCAAATAAAATGATAAAATAGATCGCGAGATCGATCAATATGCATAGTGGGGTCGATACATCTATCGTGCAATCAGAATCTAGACATCGCTGTGCATATATAATCGACAGATGGATAATTCGATCGGCGGACAAGTAAGTGAGTAGATAGCTAGGTCGAGATATAGCCAGACTGCGAATCCAGCCGGACGCCAACCGTGGCCCATAAGGTGTGTGGGTGGTTGTGTTTTTTATACATATATTTACACATGTATATATATACACACATGTTCGCGCACGCATTTTCCCACATGTATTCGAGGCGCGCGCCCCGTAATTCTTCACCCGCCATTCCGATCCTTTCCTCGCTCTCTTTCCCTCGCTCTCCCATACCGCTTGGACGTCACCTCAGGGCGGCAGCCGCAAGACCGCGGCGGCGGCGAGGCCGGATGGCATCGGGGAGACGGAGCGGCGCGTGGTGGCACCGCCGCGGCCGCGACGCCTGCCTGCGTCCAGGCCTCCCAGATGGGGCCACAGTAGAAGGGAGGACCGCGCCGCATCGTCGATTGGTGAGGCTTCGGTTTGCGCGCAGACAGCCCCCCCAGGTAGTCCCAGCTGGCCTCAACAGGCCCCCTGAGTGGTCCCCGCTGGTCTCAACAGGCCCCCGAGTAGTCGAGCAGTCCTAGGCGGTCTCAACACCCCGGCGCCGCCTCCGGCGGCTCCTTTGGAACGCTCCGCACCCCAGGCAGTCTGTGCGCAATCCGAAGCCTTACCAGCGCCGCATCTCCGATGCATCGGCGGTGCGGCTCGACGTGGAGCCCAGCTTTCTCCACGCCGGCATCTCCGATGCATCGCCGACGTGGCCGATGCACTGGCGAAGCGTCGGCCATGCATTGGCGATGCGGCGCGGTCTTGCGACCCCATCTGCTCGGAGCCGCTCTGGGAGGTCTCCAAGGGGTCGCCAGGGCCAGCCCTTTGCGACAGCGTCAAACTTTTGGTCGTTGTGTGATATCCGCCCCCGAACCAAACCGCCAGGCCGGTTTTGAATATTGCCGCGGCGATCGCGGCGGCCAGGAATTGGGGCAAGGATTTTGTGAAGGGTTGCTATGCCCCTTCCCAGCTGCTGCCCCCGCTCTGCGATGTAGACGTGGGCTAGACGAGGAACTTCTCAGCTTATGCCCATCATTGGCATTTTTTTTTTTTTTTTTTTTCTTTTGGTCGGGGGGTCGTTTCTCACGCAACCGTTTGGAAAAGGGCGGCCTCCCCCGAGGCGCGCGTCGAGCCCAGGGCCTGTGCGCGGGATCCTGGGCCCAAGAGGCCAGGTGTCAGAGCAGAGCCAAGGGCGCGCCCTCGAGTTGGGCACAGATGGCCTTCTGGCGCCCTGGCAAGACCTGCCAGCCAAGCGGCTTCCAGGTGGAGGCTTCCGTGGGAGGCCAACGTGCGGCATAAACACAAACCTTTGGAGGTCCGCGCGGATGTCCTGGATCGGCGCTGGACTCCCCTTTCCCACCACCCCTGGCGGCGCCCATCCTCCTCCTCCTCCTCCTCCTCCTCCTCCTCCCCCTCCTCCTCCTCCTCCTCCTCCTCCTCCTCCTCCTCCTCCTCCTCCTCCTACCCATCGTCCTCCTGGCCGTCGGCTCATCTTCTCATTGGGAGGTTTAAGTTTCTCCCCCCAGGCTCGGGCCACCGTCGTCGTCGTCGTCGTCGTCGTCGTCGTCGTCGTCGTCGTCGTCGTCGTCGTCGTCGTCATCGTCGTCGTCGTCGTCGTCGTTTGGGTTGCTGCGGTCGTTCGTCTGTCTGTCTTCGTGGTCGTCGATGTCGTGCTGTTCGTCGTCCTCGCCGTCGTCGTGCGCCTTCGTCGCCGCCGTCGTCAGTGGCCGGCTCCTTCTCTGCCTGTGCCTCGTGCCCCTGCGTGGGCGCGCGAGAGGCCAACCCAGAATCCCAGAGTCCAGGAGTTTTTTTCCTCCTGCTCCGCCGCCTCCTCCGCCCTCCCCCCCCCCGCCCGCGCACGCCGCTCCCGACCCCCGACCCAACACCAAAGGGGGCTGCAGGAGGCACGTCGGGCAAGGAGCTGCCCTGCCCGCGGTGCCTCGCGGAGGCCTCTGGCACCCTGGCGGCTCCGACGGCCCCGGGAAGCCCCGGGGGCACCTCGGGCGGCTCAAGGGTCGACGACGGCAGACGTGCCCCTGGATTTCGAAGCGCTAGATTTCTGAGCACATGGGCGGTGATGGATGGCGATGACGGTGATGGTGGTAGTGACGAAGACGGCGATGGTGACGACGAGGATGGCGACGACGAGGATGGCGACGACGACGATGACGAGGACGACGATGATGATGCTGATGATGATGCTGATGATGATGATGCTGATGATGCTGATGATGATGCTGATGCTGATGCTGATGCTGATGATGCTGCTGTTGTTGTTGATGATGATGACGATGCTGCTGATGCTGCTGACGATGATGCTGATGCTGCTGCTGATGATGATGGTGGTGGTGGTCGTGGTGGTGGTGGTGATGATGATGATGATGATGGTGATGGTGATGGTGATGGTGATGATGATGATGATGATGATGATGATGATGATGATGATGATGATGATGATGAGGATGATGATGATGATGATGATGGTGATGTCTTTGTTTGTTTTGAGGCCCTGGAGGCCGAGATGTGCCTCGGGGTTCTTGCTCATCTTGCCATTGGCCGCTTGCGATGAGGCCCCCAGGCTTGCCAGGTCCCGAATCCACCGATGTCCCTGGTCGTCGTGGCTGGGTTTCTCGTCGAGGTTTCTTGGGGTCGAAGGTCCACTGTACGAAAGTCAGCGAAGTCCCAAAGAGTGCTGGAAGTGGGAAGAGGGGTGGTGACCGGGGGGTGGCCTGCAAGAAGGCGTTCGCCCTCCGAGGAGGCGTTTTCCCTAGGTCACCCCGCAGGGGCGCGAAGGTAAGAGCGCCGCGCGCGTCGCGGCCTGGGCCAGAAGAGATGCCCTTCCTTGGGCCGCGCCAGGGCGCGAGTATGTTTGTGCTTCGGGCTCCGCGCGGCGCGGGGCGAGAAGCCAGGCGACCGAGCATCGTGCGAGGGCACCTTCCGGGGTTGCCCGAGCGGCCGCCGGACGGCCGGGCTGCGACCCGAAAGCCAAGGGCTCTGATCGCCCACGTCTTCGACGAGGCTTTCCAGGGAATGCCTCCGACGTCGTGCGCGCTTCGTGGCGTGGGCCCCCGGAAAAATCTCGACCCCTTCCCCAGGGTCAGCTTTTCTGCCTGAGGGTTCTCGTTGACGGTCCCAGGGCCGAGAAGCGGCCTCCAGAGGCCGAGAACGTTAGAAAACCGGCTGTCACGTTGCCTTTTTTGCAACGCCCTGGTCCTCCCTCCTCCCGCCTCCCCCCTCGCTCTCTCCTCTCGCTCTCTCCTCTCCTCTCCTCCCCGGTCCTCCAAGGTGGAGTGCTTGCTGCAGATCCAGTCCACGAGGCACATGTGGGCGAGGCTCCTCGTGGACCACGAGGGGAGGAGCCAGCGCCGCTCCGCGGGCAATCCAGCCGACGAGCATGAGGGGGAATGGCGCGGAGGAGAGGGAGGAGGAGGGGAGGAGGAGGAGGAGGAGGAGGAGGGAGCAGGGGGAGGAGGAGGAGGATGAGGAGGATCAGTGCAAAACCCTTCCTCGAAGTTCCCTTTTCATAGGTCCCTACAAGAATTTAGCTTCATTGCGGGAAGTCGCCCATTAGGAGACAACCGTCTGATAATCCTAAATCGTGACAAAACGCAACTCCTGGGACTTCAGCGCCGCGAATCAACGTGACTGTTGCGTCCTCACAGTCCTCAGTCGTGCCATAACGCCGTTTCCGGGGACTTCGCCCCTGCGAATCAATGTGACTGTGGCGTCTTGACAATCCGAATCGTGCCAGAACGCCGTTCCTGGGACTGCAACCAGACGCGTCCGTGAACCTGCTTCAAACTTTCAAGACGACTGTGCGTGGCGCTAAGGCGAGAGCCACATTTAGGAAAGGACCCGCCCTCCATCTGTGAATTTGCTATAAACTTTTAAGGCCACTGTGTGCGGCGCTTCGGCGAGAATCACATTTTGAGAACGTCCCGCTGGTCCTTGAAGGTGTTGCGACTTTGTAGGGTGCGCGGCGGTAAGGTGAGAGCCACATTTTGGAAAAGACCCGGCGTCCATCCGTGAAACTGTTTCAAGCTTTTAAGACGACCTGTTTGCGGCGCTACAGCGAGAACCACATCTCGAAAACGGCCTGCTCTCCGTCCGTGAAACTGTTGCAAACTTTACGACGAGTGTACGCGGCGCCAGGGCGAGAGCCACATCTTGGAAAGGACCCGCCCTCCATCCGTGAAGCTGTTGCAATATTAGAGTCTCGGGATCACAAATAGTGAGGGAGTCTCAGGCGGAACGGCTGGCCCGCCCTACCGTCCTACCTGTCTCTGGGTGCGACAGGGAAGAGGTATTTATAAAGAAGAGGGATGGAGGAATAGGGGGAGGAGGAAAAGCAGGAGGAGGAGGAGGAGGAGGAGGAGGAGGAGGAGGAGGAGGAGGAGTTGCCCGAGATCGTACTTCCACGGCGCAGACCGTTGCGCCGCGGTGCCACCGCCCGACGTTGCACCGAAGCAAGTTCGCAGACACACCAGACATTGGCCACACAACTGTATGCGGACAGTTTCCATGGTGCGCGGGAACACTCCGTGCCGTCGACACGAAGTCCACAGCGGTCCTGCTTGAGAAGGGAAGAGGTACCGTATGCAAAACGAAGTGCGCAGGGGGGGGGGGGGGTGCGGGGTCAACCCAGGGCTAGGGAAGGGGGCGGATCCAATCGTTTTCTTGCAAGGAGGATCTGCGTTGTGCATCTGGAGGCGCTATCTGGCGCTGGAGGAGCACGTGAGGCGCTCGCGGGCGCCCGCTGGCCGAGCGCCCGGAAACGCCAGCCAGCGCCCGCGGCGCCCGCGGGTGCCTACCAGCCGAACGCTTCGAGACGCCGGCCAGCGCACGAGGCGCCCGTGGGGAGCCCACGGGCGCCCACCGGGCGAAGACCGCGGAAGCAGGCCAGTCGCCTCCACGAGCAAGAGAGAAATGCTCTGTGCAAGCTTTCCTTGGGGAAGGTGCCGATCTCCTTGATCCTCGATCCTCGGCCCCCCTTTCCTCAGGGGCAGCGTTCGGGGGGATCGGGCCAGGGGGGGGGGGGCGCATCGGCGGCCAATCGCCATTCATCGCCGATAGGGGCCCGATAGGCCTACCCCGCCCAGGAACGTGCGGTTTCGCCATCGGGGGCCACTCTGCCGATCTATCGGCGATGGATCGCCGATTCCAGCGTGATGTTACCCCCCGCGAGCTGGGCCCCCATATAACTGTGCCCCTCGTTGAGGAGTCCAGAGTCGTGCGCTCAGGCTGCCTCGCTGCAGGCCTCAGCGCAGCGGAAACTCCCCAGTGCGGTCCCCCCCCCCTCAGCCCTCCCCCCCCCCCCCTTCCTCCTCCCTCCTCCCTCCTCCCTCCTCCCTCCTACCCCTCTGCTGGTCCACCTCCCCATATCGTTGCCCCAGGGAGGGAGGGCTGGTCCCCTTTGCGGGGAGGGGGGGCTGCGCGCCCAGGGGCTGAGCCAAGGGTCGCCCTCCCCAGGAGGCGGCGCAGCGGCTCCACGCGCGCCGCCGTTCTCGTCGTCGTCATCGTCCACCTCCTCTTCGTCCTCGTCGTCCTTGTCGTCGTCGTCCTCCTCCTCCTCCTCCTTCCCACCCTCACCGTCCTCCTCCTCGTCTTCCTCATCCTCCTCGTCCTCCTCGTCCTCCACCTTGTCTTCGTTCTCCTTATCCTCATCCTTCTCGTCCTCGACCTCCTCCACCTCATCTTCGTCCTCCTCGTCCTCCACCTCTCCCCCTCTTCCTCGTCATCTTCGTCCTTCACCTCTTCCTCGTCCTCCTCCTCCTCATCTTCCTCCTCTGCCACCCCCTCCATCCTCATCGTCCTCCTCCTCGTCCTCCTCCTTTCCCCCCTGACGCTGCCCTCCTCTCTCTCCTGGAGGAGCCCCTCGCTGTGCTCGGCCACGGCCCGGGACGCGCCGCCGGAAGCGGAGGCGGGAGGGCCCTCCGGCGGCAGGCCCGCGGCCCCTCCGCAGCCCGCCGCCGCCGCCGTCGCGGCCCGCCGCCGCAGGGGGTGCCGCCGCCGCCTGGCACGACGGCCACGTCGACGTCGACGGCGACGGCGACGACGACGACGGCGACGACGACGACGGCGGCGGTGGTGGTGGCGGCGACGGCGGCGGCAGCGGCGACGGCGACGACGACCACGAAGACGACGACGACGACTACGACTGCGACTGCAAACGCGATCCCGTCGCCGAAGGCGACGGCGGCGACCACGGCAACGACGACGACGACGACGTGGACTGCGGCGACAACGGCAACGGCGGCGGCGACGAAGACGGCGACGACGGCGACAACGACGACGATGACGGCCATGACCACGACCACGACGACGACAAGACGACGATGACCACTGTCACGACGACGATGACCACGACGACGACGACGATGACGGCCATGACCAAGACCACGACGACGACGACAAGACGACGACGACCACGGTCACGACGACGATGACCACGACGACGACGACGACGACGGAGACGACGACGGCGACGACGATAACGACGACGATGACGACGACAGTGTCGACAATGACGACGGCGGCGACTACGGCGACGGCGACGACGACCACGACCACGACGACGCTGGCGAGGACGGCGGCGACGACGGCGGCGACCACGACGGCGACCACGACGGCGACGGCGAAGTCGGCGACGGCGACGGTAACGACGACGTCGACGACGGCGGCGGCGGCAGCGACGGCGACGAAGACGACGACCACCACGACGACGATGGCGATGTCGGCGACGATAACGGCGATGACCACAGCGGCGGCGGCGACGTCAACGACAACGACGATGGTCACGACGACGACAACGGCGGTGGCGGCGAGGACGACGGCAGTGGCGACGGCGACGACGGCGGCGACCACGACGACGACGACGACCACGACCACGACCACGACCGCGACCACGACGATGACGACCACTGCAGCGACGACGATGGCGACGACAATGGCGACGATGATGACGACGGCGACGGCGGCGACGACATCGGCGGTGACGATGACGACGACGACCACGACGACGACGACGACGACGACGATGGCGGCTGCGGCGGCGACGACGACGACCACGACGACGGCAACCACGACCACGATCACGACTGCGACTGCGACGACGCCGGTGACGATGACGACGACGATGACGACGGCGGCGACTACAACCACGACGACGACAACGGCGGCGACGACGACGGTGGCGACGACATCGGCAGCGACAATGACGTCAACGTCGACGTCGACGACGACGGCCACCACGACGACAACGACGACGGCGACGATGACGACGACGACGACGAGGACGACGACGAAGACGGCGACGGCGACGTCGACGGCGACGGTCACGGCGACGGCAACGACGACGACGACCACGATGATGACGACGACCGCGACCACGACGACGACAAGGCGACGACGACCACGGTTACGACGACGACGACGCCAGCGGCGGCGGTGACGGCGGCGGTTGCTACCGCCTCTGGTAGTGATCGTATTCGTGGTCACCGTCGTGGGTCGTCGTCGTCGTGCGGGTGGGGTTCGTGGTCTTGCTGGTCGTTGTGGTCGTCGTCGTTGCTGTCGTCGTCGTCGTCGTCGTCGTCGTCGTCGTCGTCTTCGCAGTCGCCGTCGTGGTCGTCATGGTCGTCGTGGTCGTCGTGGTCGTGGTCGTGGTCGTGGTCGTGGTCGTCGTCGTCGTCGTCGTCTTCGTCGTTGTCGTCTTCGTCGTCGTCGTCAACGTCTTGGTCGTGGTGGTGGTGGTCGGATCGGCAAGACGACGGAGCAGGAGGGAACGACGAGGACTGCCTGGTGGGCGGGGACGGCGGCTTCACTGCCCACAGTTGCATTTTTCGCCGTCTGGGCCACAGACATAACATCACCTACCACATCTCGGCACGTAGCATTATCACATATTGAGATCATGCCGTATTTGTAGATGTATATGTATATATATAGTTATGTTCACATTGACATAACATGTATATTTGTTTACATATATTTATATATCCATGTCTATGTCTACATTTATTGTATATATATATATCTATGTATGTGTTCATGGTATCTTTGCGTGTATGTATAAGGTTGTATACACATATGTGCCTAAACATATTTATATATACACACATATCCAGTTGCGCTGCCGCGCGATTCCGCCACCGCGCTCGAGCGGGCTGGGGGGGGGGGGGGGCGCCTTAGGGGGTGGTGGAGGGGGGAGCGGCCACGGATCCCCCCCGTTCCTAGATCTTGTATTTGTGAGCGCTTTCTGCCTGCAAGGCTATATAAATCGCAGGGACTTGGCCGCAAACATGAACGCATCTTGGGCTCGATGCGTCGGGGGCCCCTAATCACTGCTTCGCAAGAGGTGGAAGAGTCCCACCCACGCCAAGCGCTGCAATCGCGGTGGTGCGTGTGTATGTGTGTGTGTGTGTGTGTGTGTGTGTGCGTGTGTGTATGTGTGTATATATGTAGATTTCCCGCTCCTCCGACGTCTCTTTTTCGTGCGACGTGAGGGCCAGGGGATCCTGGCCTTTTCCCGGGGCTGGTTCATCCCCAAACGCGTTCGATGGTTCTGGTGCTGGGAAAAGGACTCCAGTCGCCGAAATCGGTTACGCGGAAGAGTGAGCCTTCGCCAGAGTGACCCTCAGCATTGTCTTGCGCGCTTGGATTTGGGCACCCACCCACCCCTCGACGGCACCCGACAGCCGCGCACTCGAGTTCCTTCTTGCCTAGGGTCACTCGCGTACAGCCAACGGAAGCGCGGACGAAAGTGGCCGTCACGATTTTTTGGCGACGCCGGGATCTCAGGGTCCGTGCAAGGACCCCGCTGGATCTCATCAACGACTGGCGCGTTGAGGAGATGAGCCGGCGACTGGCCGACGAGTTCTCCGGGAAGCAGGCCCTCCAGGACACTCGCCGCGAGCGCGCGCGCGCACGGGCTGGCTTTCGGTATTGCTGGCCAGTGGAGGAACATGTGCAGGATAGCTCTTTCTGGAATGCCTTCGTCGCCACTGCGGAGCTCGCCGAGGAATCCCAGAATCGAACCCTGGGAGAGGTCCAGGGAGCAGCGATATTGGTATCTTTTTGTTTCCCCAGCTGTTGCAGTCGTCGTCGTCGTCGTCGTCGTCGTCGTCGTCGTCGTCGTCGTCGTCGTCGTCGTCGTCGTCGAGGGTCGAGGGTTGAGGTTTTTGGGTGTCTGTGGCCCTTATTGGGTCTCCAGCGGTCCCCGGAGGTCCTTCGCCCGCTCATGGGGTCAGCATTTTGTTAGGATTAGACTGTCTTTTCACAAGCGCACGTCGATCGAGATGATTCCTACCATGGAACGTCTGAAGAGACTATTTTTGTTCCCTCGTCATCGTGTGTCGACGCACCCGCCATCATTAGCAACACCAGTGCGATTACACGTCTCGCCATCACCGCCCTTATGACCATCGTTCGTATTGATCCCCGCCGTGAGGGGTGGACGTCGGACACACCGCCGCCCTTCTCGTGCCCAGTACTGGGGGCCCTCGTGCTCGCAAAGCCCGAAGCGTGTCCTAAACCTTGGGTGGACTGCTCATAGCTCTGGGGGGGTGTCGGCGCAGAGGCCGCCCTCAGTGGATCCCAGGATCCCGGGGGCAGCGGTTTTGACATCTCCCACGCTGCGCCCATCCTTGAGGGGACATGACATCTGCCACTGTCCGCACTGATCCCAAGCCGCCTCAGGGACGTAGTCATACACTTTCAAAGGGTCCGCGCGAATTTCTGGGGTCTGCGCTGGACCCCCTGGCGGCGCCCCCGGCGTCGCCCCTGGCGCCCTCCGCGCGCCATGGTATGGGGGGTCAGCACAGATCCAGGAAATCCGCGCATTAGTAGCCCGAGACCTCTCGCTCGCTCGCCCGCTCGAGCGAGCGAGCGAGCGAGCGAGGGAGAGGGCGTGGGAGGGGCCTCGCTCCTGCGCGCGCTCGCTCGCTCGCTCGGCCCCCCCCTGCTCGCTCGCCCCCCCCCCCGCTCGCTCGTGCCCCCCCCCCCCCCCGCCCCCCCCCAATGCTCGTTCGCCCCATCGCTCGCTCGCTCGCTCGCCCCCTCCCATCGCTCGCTCGCTCGCTTGCTCGAGCGAGCGAGCGAGCGAGCGAGCGAGAGCCTTGGCGTGCTTGCTCGAAATCCGCACGGACCTCCGGAAGTTGATGCTTAGGCGGATTCTTCTTCTGCTAGTCGTCGCCCTCAGACCTCAGGTCAGGACATCCAGGGAACTCCACCGAACTGCACCCCCTCAGGGGCAGCGCGAGGGAGGGATAGGCTCAGGGCGGAGCGCGTGGACCTCCAACCGCCCACTCATCGCCGATAGAGGCCTGATGGCCCACCCCGTCCAGGAGTGTCCGGATTCGCCATCGAGGGCCCGCCGCCGATCTGCCGACGATGTATCGCCATCTCAGGCTCGATGTTTCCCCCTGAGCCGGCCCTCCCTGACGCATCCCCTCACCCCAGGGAGCCCTGGCCCTTACGGAGGTCTCGACCCATTCTCCAGGGCTGGCTCTTCAACCTGGGCTGTTCTTTCGATGTTTCCCCCTGAGCCGGCCCCCACTTGACGTATCCCCTCATCCCAGGGAGCCCTGGCCCTTACGGAGGCCTCGACCCATGCTCCAGGGCGGGCTCTCTTCATCCTGGGCTGTTCTTTTCGACGTCTTTCTGGGGTCCAGCGAGGGCCACCAGAGGCCGAAGAGAGCCCAACTCTCCCCGTCGTGCCTTTTCTCACGACGTGAGGGGGTCTGGAGTTGCCCTGAAATCGGGCATGTCCCTCTAC